GCTGCTGCTGCTAAATCACTTCACGGTGTACATACACAGACGCTCTCCATGCCCAAACAAATTCCCCACTACTCTTATAGCTCGACAACACAAAGCTACTGCTGCTGCTGCTGCTGCTGCTGCTGCTGCAGCTACTACTGCTGCTGCTGCTGCAGCAGCAGCAGCAGCAGAGGGGCTGACGGCTTTGAGAAGCAATACTTCCAGTCAATCAACAAGAGCTGTCAAGCAAACAAAGGTAAATGCAGCAGCAACTGCAGCAACTGCAGCAGCACTGCAGCAGACCAGAAGCTGCCTGCTGCTGCAGGCCTGTTGCAGTCATGCTGCTGCTGCTGCTGCTGCAGGTAGGCTGCAGTCATGCTGCTGGAGCTGCCGGCCTGATGCAACAGCAGCAATGCTGCAGCATGCTGCTCCTCCTATTGCTGCTGCAGCTGCTGCCGCTGCTGCAGCAGTTGCTGCTGCTATAGACAGCAGCACACTACGTCTATCTCGCAGCTGCTGCTGCTATTGGACCAAACATACACACTCCGTTGCCGTTGCTGTTGCTGCTGCTGTTACTGTTGCTGCTGTTGCTGCTGCTGCTGCTGCTGCTGCTGCCTATTCAAGCAACAGGGGGATCCGCATCGTCTTCTCTGTGTGGGGTTTGCTGCTCTCTTGATGCCTTTGCGGGCAACGCTGGGGAGCCTGAGCAGCAACAGAAGCAGCAGCAGCAGCAGCAGCAGCAGCAAATGAGAGCAGCAAGTAGCAGCAGCAAAGTAACAAACAACAGCAAGATATACACATACACAGAAACAGCAGCAGCACAAACCGCAACAGTAACAGCAGCAGCAAGAACAGCAACACAAGCAGCAGCAGCAGGTGGAGAATGCACAAGCAAGCATCCGAGTACTAGCAACAGCAGAAACAGCAGCAGCAGCAGCAGCAGCAGCAAATGAGCAGCAAAAGGGGCAGCAGCAAAAGGAGCAACAGGCAATCAGCAACACCAACCCGGGCACTGACAACAGCAGCAAGAAGACCGCACACCAACTGCTGCTGCAGCAGCAGAAGCAACAGCAGCAATAGAACCAGCAGCAGCAGCAGCAGCAGAAGCAACAGCAGCAGGACAGCAGCAGCAGCAGGAGCAGCAGGACATACTTCTGAATGCAGAGAAGAGGATAGCGAGTACGATAAGGATAAGAGAAGCAACATGAGTAGGAGAGAGTCCTCCTGCTGCTTGCTGCTCTCCTGTGTCTCCTCCTGTTCCTGCTGCTGTTGCTGCTGCTGTATCTGCTGCTGCAGCAGGCAGCACATCTGTAGGGGAAGCCAATGTATTTGCTGAGGCAACTGCATCCCTTACTGCCCCCATTAGCCCAGCTAGGGAGTTGCATATACACCCCACCAGGTCGTCCGACATTGTTGCTGCTGCTGCTGCTGCTGTTGCTGCTGCTGCTGTTGATGTTGATAATGATGTTCCTCTTGCTGGTGAGGCAGAGAGAGATTAGCTGCTCCTGCTGCTCCTGCTGCTCCTGCTGCTGCTGCTCCCCTTGCTGCTAATGCTGCAGGAAGCGGCAAGGCCAGAGAAAGGAAGATGATAGAAGTCCTGCTATATATTTAGAACGACACAGCTCTTGCTGCTGCTGCTGCTGATGCTGATGCTGCTACGCTCACGTGCCTGCAGCGGGGGAGGGAAGGGCAGCAGCGCATCCGCTGCAGCAGCGTGCTGCTGCTGCTGTTGCTGTCTGTAGTAAACGTTTGCTGCAGCAGCAAGATGCTGCAGCATGAAAGAAGAGGAAAGCCGAAGGCGTGTTTGTCGTCAATAGGAAAAAGTAAAGCTGGTGTATATGTGCTGCTGCAGCAGCAGCAGCAGCAGCAGCAGCAGCAGCAGCAGCACAGGGGAGGGGCGTGTAAGAAGAAGGCCGCTCTATATAAGAGAAACCGATCCTTTATAAACAGATAAAGATAATATACTTATAAATGTTGCAGTGTACATACGCTGAACAGCCGCGGCAGCAGCAGCAGCAGCGCTATATATAATCAGCAGCAGCAGCAGCTGAGCGCACCAGTCGAGCGGCTCGCGTGCTGCTGCTGCTGCCGCTGCAGCAGCAGCAGCAGGTCCAGCAGCAGCGGGACCCTTCCTCTTTGCGCTTTCAGTGTAGCATCTTATACTACTATTAGGTTAATCGTTAGTTTGTAGCAGCAGAAGACTGTGTTGATTAGCAGCAGCAGCAGGCCGCTGCTCGGTACAGCAGCAGCAGCAGCAAACACGCCAGACCGCTACGTCAGCAGCAGCAGCAGCAGCAGCAGCAGCAGCCGTAGCTGCAGCAGCAACACCTGCTGCTGCGCCTATGCTTCGGTCTCTCTTGCTGCTCTAATTGGCTTCTTTTCTGCTGCTTCCATTCAGGGCAGCATCCATACTTCACAGCACGATACTGCAGCAGCAGCAGCAGCAGCAGCAGCAGCAGCCGCCTCCGTGTTGGGGGGCCAGCAGCAGCAGGCACAGCGGCGGCAGCGGGAGCAGCACGAG